TCCCATTTGTGGTATTTTTCTTGTCAGAGCGACACTAGGTAACCAAAATATCCTCCTTCCATAGCTTAATGTCAAAGTGTTTCCAGTGCCATGCTAACAGAGCAAAGGTCGCATCACAGGCTCTGGCCCTCAGGTTCACTGTGAGGGGCTAAGGCAGATAGCAGGTGCAGCACGGGGTTCTGGGGTCGGCAGGGCGGGGTTGCAGGGTAGTGGCCTTCCCCGTGCTGCCCCTCCTCCTGAGTCACTCTGAGTCCTCACAGCCCCAGAGTGCACATCAGACGGAGGAGAAAACCTTTGCAAAGAGATGTACCCAGGAGGCAGGGATCCGCACAGGCTGCATGGGCAACCGCTTTCTGCTGGGAAGTGTGGGGGATTTGGGAGAGCCCCTGGTTCCTCCTGGGCCTGGGGACTCCTGCCAAGCATTGCTGTTGGCACAAGTTTATGTTGTTAAGTTCTTGTTTTCACTAGCAATAAACGTCTCTCTTCACACACACACGCACAAAACTACATGTCTGTGGAGCAGAGGGGACAATCTGTCATGGATGCCATGTCTCCTACATTTCTGAGCCAGGGGCAATTACTGGCAGGCATCTTAGTTCCTACAGAGAACATGTCAGTGACAGAGGTCACACTACTGCCCTACCCCCAACCCCCATTGGGGGATTTCTGCCCTCAGCCTAATCACCGCTTATGATAAATGGTGTGATGGGAGCATCTGACCTCCTCTAATTTCACAAGGGGGGAAGGAAAATCAAGAACAACAGCCCAAGGCTCATTCCTATGAGGCAGAGGTCAGATATGCCTCCTCTCTCAATCCTTTTACCAATTCTGACACCAGCTGTCCCTCCCAAGGGACTCTACTTTGCTGGGTTCCGTAATTCACTGCAACAGTCACACAGAACTCACAGACCATATTCACAGTTATGATGTCTATTTGGGAAGTAACCAGTTACAGTTTAGGATCAGGAGTAACTCAGAATATAGCTCTTTGATCAGGAAAGCTTCTTGGCCACAGCCACAGGCAGGCCTCTCTGTCCTCAACCCCTCGGCCCCTCAGGCCTCTTGGGCCAGCCCAGCCTCTGCCCTACAAACGTTACAGAGATTTTTAGTTCTGCCAGTAAGTGCCTGGGGGCAGCCTACTTGGCCAGTAAGCCTCAGCCCAAAGACACACAGCTCTCTTGCTCAATGGGTTGGCACACCCACCGTAACAGCTCTGCACTGGGATCCATGTTCCGCTGCTGTTTCCCGGCGGCCACTTCTCACCTTGCCATCTTGCTCCACCTCCAGTGTTACAACTCTCTCTCCATCTCCTAGGTCTAGGAGGTACTCAGCACAAGACTCTGGGTCCAAAGGAGGTGCTCTGTTCCCGTGTCTTCCTGGTGGTAGTGAGGTTTCCCCCTCCTTCCACCTCTGGGATGGCTCATTTTAAGCCTAGAAGGCTGGCAAAACTGACCAATCTCCTTGTTAAACCAAAAAACCAAACTCACTGTCATCAAGTCAGTTCCAACTCATAGTCCTTGGGTTTCCAAGGTGGTATCTGGATGGAAGTGAATTGCCCTGTCTTCCTTCTGAAGAGTGCCTGGTGGGTTTGAACCACCAGCCTTCTGGTTAGCAGTCAAATGCCTTAGGCACTACACTACCCTTATCAGGGTACCAATACCTTCTTTGTATGGTCCTACCCTTACAACAATAACCCTTACAAAGGTACCATACATCTTATTTGCATTATTAGCAAGCTGTTCAATTCACTTGGTGGGTCTCACGAACCTTATTTGTATAATTCTACCCAATCCCTTTGGTGGGGTTTACAAGACCATGGCTAGAAAAACCATGTAACAGCCAATCCATTGCACATCACAGCTCTTTCCCAGTCCCTCCCAGCAATGTCAGTGAGGCCCTTCCCCCAGGCTAACAGCCACTTCATTCACCTCCTCCTCCAAGGGCTGGGACTCATGGGGAGAGTTCCCTTGTGCCCCTGCCTCACTACCACCAGAGGGAGATGTAACTCCCACTGACATTTAAACAAAAAAGGATGTTGGGAGAAAGTTTTCATCCTAGGAAGAAAGCAGAAGGTACAGAGCTGGTGCGCTTGAACTTCAGTTTTACTGATCAACTTATGATAAATGATGTGATGGGAGTGTCTGACCTCTAATTTCACAAGGGGGAAGGAAAATCAAGACCAGCAGCCCAAGGCTGATTCCTATGAGCTAGAGGTCAGATATGCCTCCCCTCTCAAACACAGCAGGAGATAACAGACTCAGCCTGTGACCCACACTGCCCAGAGGGCTGAAATGGGGATATGCTGTGTCCATTATGATCTCTATGGAAACAGCAAAGTCTATTACGATCTCTACGAAAACAGGTTTGCTCTGGGGTTTCCTTGCATGGTCATCCTCCTGAGCCAATTCCCATGCCTGCTTTTCTCAATCAGAACTGGCCAGGGCAGCCCTTTTAGGCTTTCAGTGCACAATGAGAAGCTCCCAGTCGTGGGGTGGACACACCTGCTGGCCTCACCCTCCTGGACCCAGGACTGAAGAAGTGGTCCAAGTGTCAGGGTAGGGAGTGGGGGCACCCCACAAGGCTCCAAGACTGCTCCAAGACATGGCTTAGAGTCAAAGACCTTGAAAAAGTGCTTGGAGGATGCAAGGGCAGCCAATTCTGAGACAGGCTCCTTGCCCCAAGAAGGAGGAGTTCCTTGGCCTGGACATGGAAGTAGGGCACTTGATCTTCCCAGCACGCAAGCAAACAGTGCTGGGCCTTGGATCCAGCAGAGAGGAGAAGACATTGGATCCTCTGCCTTGGGTGAGAATGACCCAAGGGCATGGGTCTCTTTCTGCTTGCTCTGTCCCTGTAAGGGGTTCCAGGTGTTCTTTGAGGGATGGGCCTGTCACCCCACTTGTCTTGGGTCAAGACAAGTATCTTGGAGTGTGTGTCTAAGTAAGCCATCCACAGAAGACATCACATTAGCAGGTGACCCACCGATGTCCTGCTGCTGCCTTTTTGCTTTCACCACCCACCCTGGACTCTGGGCAAGGCTGGGTTCTCAGGTGGACTCTAGGCTCAGACTCTGAGCCCTCAAGAGTTCAGGCTGGGGAATGCAGGCCAGTCTGGGGGTCACTCTGCCCCTCAGGCCCAGGGAAGGTTCCAGCCTGGCTGATGCTGCCAGCCACCAGTGCCTGGCTCCTGAGTAGCCTCCTGGTGTTCAAGCCTACCCATCTCACCCTGCCCCGGGATGTGGCCAGCTGCTGGGGTCATGTGATTCTTTGGGCTTCTGCCTGCTGGCCACAGGACAGGCAAGGGTAAACACACAGCGTTTGGGGGCCCAGCCAGAGCCAGGCACAGCCCCAGGCCCCACACAGGCTTCTGGGCTTGACATGGGTGGGGAAAACTGGGAAGGAATCCAACTCTCCCACAAAATTCCAACCTGCTGGCCTGGTCAAGGCCTGTGTCACCCTGCCCTCAGGCCCCACCTCTGCTCTGCACACAGGCAGGGTGGGGGCCCTGTGCTCTTGGGCCATCATCACACAAGCAGGCAAACACTGGCTGTGAGTTCAAGAGACAGGAGCCTAGCACACAGCCAGGGAGGCTTTGTAATGCTTCTGGTTCTTGGGAAGGGCCACCCTTGCGCACACACCCACCAGCCTGAGCAGAAGACTGAAGAAAGGCGCTCTTAACTGCCAGGTGACAAGTGACAACCAAGCATTGACCACGCCTCTCAAAACCTGCAATCTCTGGTTAGGAGCTTTATTTCCATTAGCAAGCATTAGTGGAGAGAATCAACTTTGCTGAGGGGGCTGCTTTTGCCAGCAGAGGGCGCTAGCGTTGGACTGAGCCCAGGAAGCCTCTAGCCTCTAGACATAGGCTTGCGGACCGTAGCCAAGGCTATGGCCAAGGGCAGCTCTTTCCTCCTGGGGTCCTGGCCCACAGAAACAGGGTGAGAATCTAAAGAGGGGGTGCAAATAGAGGTCACAGAAAGCTCAATGGTCAGCACAGGAACTAGGAGGGAGGCAGCCTCTCTCCTCCATTTCCAGCACAAATTGGCCTCCATAGATCCTCCAACACAGCCTCTCAGAAGCTGCCCTGTCCACAGCTGGCATCCCCACGAGGAGTAAAGCGCTCTGACAGCAGAGCGCAGGTTATACTGTATTCTGAAAGCTGGGACATTTATGGGAGCTGGGCCAGGCACTCTGGGCACAGCAAAGGGCAGGCCTGGATGGACCTCCCTGCCCTCCAAGGCTTTTCAGATAGCCCCAGGACACTATGTAGTGACCAGGAGGTAGCCTGTAAGCCTAACCCTGTGGGGTCAGAGGAGGCTTCAAAGAACCATTGGGATGATGGCCCATTCCAGGGACCCTTGTTTGGCTGGACCAAGTGGAGCAGTCTGCCCCAGCCCGACAGGGAGCAGGGTCTGGGAGGGGGCAAGGATAGAAGCTCTTTTTTCCTCAAGGGTCCTCTTTCTCCAAAAAGATACCCTCTACCCCCCAGTGACAGCGAGCTGGGCCCAGCTGGGGTCCTGGGCAGGAAGGCAGGGCCACCTGTTCCCAGCAGGCACCACCCCCCAGGCCCACCCACCTCGCTGCTGGCTCCACTATCACCCTCCCAGCACCTCCCTCTCCATTTCCTGTCCCCTCCAGGAAGCCTTTGAGGACTGATCTGAGCCACTTTGCCTCCCTTTGCCCTGCCCTCCCTTTATCGACATCCAAGACCTATGTGGGAAGGAGACTCAGAAGCCACCTGCTGGGTCGAACTCCCTTGAACCAATGCCAACCCTGGCCACTAGAGGGACAAGCCCTTCACACAAGGGGGAGCGAGTTCTGGCCGCCGCCCTCCGTCCTGGGCCCAGCGCTAGGACTGGGTGTTCTCAGGCTGCCCAGACACTCTTTGAAATCCTGCCGAGGGAAGTCAGGCGAGACCCGCGTCCTGGAGGGCAGGCGTGGACAGGGCCCTTCGGCTGCTGCGAGGCCCGGGTGGGGGTCACATGGAGTCCCGGCGGGGCGGGGTCACGGCCCCCGAGCCCTGGTGTCTGGGAGGGGTAGGGCGCGGCTGCGCTCCCCTGGGAGCGTGCAGGCCTTGGCTGACAGTGCGCGCTCCTGGCCTAAGCGGAAGGCCGCAGTCACGGTGACCAGGTAGACGGTGCCGGGCGTCAGGCCCTGCAGTGTGGTGCTGTTCTGGCCCGCAGGCACCTCCACGCGCTGGGCAGTGCCGCCCTGCAGTGGCCCATACAGCACGTGGTAGCCGAGCACTGCGGCAGGCCCCAGCGTCGGGGCCCAGCTCACGCGCACGCTGCGCGGCCTGGCGTGAGAGATGACGATCCGCTCCGGCCCAGCCTCCTCTGGGGTGGGGGGGAGGGGGAGGAGGGGAGACAGACCACACATGTGAGCCTTGAGCTCTCCGCCACCAACCAGTCCGCTCCCCCCAACCCTGCCGCACTCATCTAGAGGCCCCGCCCTTCCCACCAGTCCAGGCCGCACCTCACCTGGCAGTGTGCGAACACGCAGGTGCTGCGGCCCCACGAAGAGCTCGTTGGACTCAGGTACCAGCGCCACGTCATAGTCCGTGTCCGGCTCTAGGCCGGCCCAGACCCAGCCTGTGGCGTTCCCCGGCACCTGCTGGCGACGCACTACTCCCGGCTCGGCGCTGGGCACCAGTTCCAGCAAGTAGTAGCCAGACTTGGCGGTCAGCAGGGGCAGCCAGGCCAGGCGAAAGCTACTGGACGTGACTTCAGAGGCACGGAGCTGCTGCTGTGGTTGCATCGCGTCTGCATGTGGAGTCAGGAAACAGAGGTCACCTCCTTTGTGCTGGAGCAGGGGTCCTAGCTGTTGAGTCAGGGGAGACCCCACAGATTGGGGTTCCCCAGTAGATGGACAGGGATTGGGCCAACAGGCCAGGAAGACATGGTGAGCTCCTGGACAGGCCAATCTGGCCACATCCAGCAGCATTTTCACCCAAATTAGATGCTAATGATATGCAAAGCAGAGATGGGGCTGAAGGAAGAAAACAGAGGAGCTTGCAGCCCCATCCCTCTCACCATCAAGGCTTCCGTGCCTGCCTCAGACCCAAACCCAGACTCTTGGGAATGGTAGAGGGGCCACCACACCAGGGCCCACAGTGATGTCAGGGAACAAGGGCCAGACCCTGGCTTGGAGTAGGCCCACAGGGTCTGAGGTCAGCCAAGATCTGGAGAGTTGAGGTGAAGGGGAACCCAAGGATGCACCCAGGAGAGTCCCTGGGAGGTACAGTGGAGACAGGACAACTCCAGGAACAGTTGGACCTGGGTTTCTGGGATGCTTCCTGCCTCAGGTCCTAGAACCCCACAGAATTGGGGCATGGAAGGACCCTGGAGTGGGACCCTAAACATGTTACCCCAGCATATGGCCAAGCACCATATGGCTAAGTGACCTGTGATTTGGTTAACTAGTAAATGTTATGGGTGGAGTCAGTCATGGAATCTTGGACACTTCTTCCTCCGCAATGCTGAGTGCCCCTGCCATCAGCCTGGCATGCTCTCCTCCCCATCCCCCACACCCAGACCTACCCCCACAAGACCCCCACCCTTCTGCCTGACGTCTGTGCCCAGGAGCCTTGAGTTTTTATTGTCCAGCTGCCTGCCTTATCCTGCTGTGCCATCCAGGCTGGCCTACGGAGGGTGACCACATGGGGCAGATATCCCTAGAGGAAATCTTCCAGAGGACCTTCCACCCCTCTCCAGCACACAGACCAAGTCCTTCCGGCTTTAGGTGGATGATTAACCCAAAGGCTGAGACTTGTGAACAACTCTGGAGTTCTTGACACTTTTCAATGGGAAAAGCAGACTGGCCAGCAACCATGCCCTTCTTCTTCAGCCCCACCCCACCCCAGTGAACTGGGAGGGGTGCCCTCAGCCCCAGTAGCAGCCCCACCCCCTCCTCCTCCAGGACAGTTCCCACAACAAGCCTGAAGTCCAAACCTAGTCAGCACACTGCCCTGCTCAGCCACCTCCATGGCTATCCTAACCAGTAAAGGGCCTGAGCTCCATGAGAGGCAGCCCAGGCCCTTTCTGATCTTCCTGGCCTCTCCTCTCTCCAGACATGGGAGCCTCAGTGCATGTCCACCGAGTTCCTGGACTTGAACCACCCTTCTTTTTCTATCAGCCACACCTACCAAATACAGTCCACCAGTGCCCCCACTCTGGGGACCTCTAGCACTGGTCTGGCACCCCTCAACAGGAAACACTCCTGGAGGTGGTTCCTCAGCCTCGTCTCTCTGTCCCCAACAGCCCCAGATAGCAGCTTCCTAGGAGCCCCAGCTGCAGTGTGTCCATGGCCAGTGGACAGAAATGCCTCATGTCACTCCCCCCACCACACACACCTTCAAGGACACCTCACATTCCACAGCCCTGGCTCCAAGTCCTCCTGAAGTCTTGCCCCAGTCTCTCCTGCTGTGGTTCTCAGCTAGGGCTCCTCAGGGCCCCACTTCCTCCCACCTACCGAGAATGGAGTCCCTCAGCTCCTGGGTGATGATGTGCAGGTCATCCACATCCACAAAGTGCAGGTGCTTCTCAGGAGGGGCTGAGGCAGCGGCCGACAACTCCAGGAGGTTGCCTCGGCCAGTGCTGATGATGAAGACAGTGACACCCAGGTCCTTGAGCTCCTGCATGGGGGGCCCCACGGGGTCGCTGGAACCACCATCTGTCACCCACACCAGCACCTTGGGCACCCCTGGCTGGGAACCGGCTGCTGTATCAAACAGCTGCTCCTTGGCATAGGCCAGTGCCAGGCCAGTGTTGGTGTCACCCATGCGCTGGGTTGCAGCCCGGATGGCATCCTGAACTGATGCACCTGAGTTGTACTGGCCAAAGGAGAACTCAGTGTCCGGCTGGCTGCCTACATGCACTAGGCTGGCATGCAGGGCCCTGGGGCCCAAGGGCAGAGGGGCCACCAGCTGCCCCAGGAACTCCCGAACCCGGGAGAACTCGTAGTGAGACACGCTGGCCGAACTGTCCACCAGGAACAGCAGGTCCCCCTGGGGGGATGATGCCGGGGGACCTGGGGGAGAGGGGAGGGTTCAGTCCTGGGGCAAAGGCCCCCCCGAGACAGCCCACCCCAAAGCAGAAAAACCAGGATCTGAGTTTGTCCTAAGTCATCCTAACCCTAGCTGACTTCAAGAGCCTGCACTGTTCCATCCTGAAGGCCCTGGGAGGGGTGGTTCTGAGCCAAGCAGGAGGCCCAGCTCCTCAATGGATTTATGTCACTGGGGCAGCACCAGAGCAGGACACTCTCTGGGCTCCTGTCCCATCTATACAATGACAGTCCCACACTCTCCCTTCCCCAACTAGCCCAGGAGCCCTGGGGGGCTGCTCTCAACATCTTTGCTGCCTCCCAGGCTGTCTTTCTAAGAAGTGGCTTTAGTGCTGGAGTTCAGCCTCACAGCTCAGCCTTGAGGGGAGACAGCCCACCCTGAGGTACACACAGCAGCAGGAGAGGGGGATGAAGCACTGGACTCAGCCCCCTCCTCTTTCCCAGCCCAGGCAGTCAGGCTGGCTTCAGTGACCGCATTGAAGATGGTATCACCCGTCCCCTAGCCCCCATCTCTGCTCCATCTGGACCTCGGAAGCAGGCCCTCCTGGGCCTCCCCACTCCTCCCAGTCTGTCTGGCACACTGGAAAGGCAGTGCCTCCCCTTCCCTGCTGGGGGTCTGGGGGCATCTTGGGTCTGATCCAGGCCCCAACTCAGTAAAGCGATTCCAACACGGCTACCATCGCTCTACTAACGGTTCTTCCAGGGGTGGGGAAACTGAGGATGCGGACACTTCCCCCTCCCCGTCCAGGCCCCGCGATCCCTTAGAGATGCCCGGCCTCGACCTCGGCAGATGGCGAGCTCCACACTCCAGCAGATGTGCTGTCTAGCCCGCCCGGGGCACCTGGGCTGAACCGCCGCAGGTGGGTGGGGCTGCCAGGCCCGGCTGTCCCCAGGCCCTGGCGGACGGGCGCGCGCCGCGGGGAGTGAAGGGGGCGCCCAGAGCTCCGCTCCCTGGTTCCCTGGGTTGCACTCACCGCGCTCGGCGCCGCTCTGCGCCAGCGCCACCCGCAAGCTCAGGGCCAAGCCAAGCGCGGTCCAGGCTAGCATCGCGCTGTGGAACAAGGCGCAGTGCTAGGGCGCCGCTCGCTCTCTCCTAGGCTCCTGGGCGCGCCGCTCCACGATCCACGGGTTGAGGTCCCGCCCCTGGTCCCGCCCCCGGCTATGCCCCGCCCCGCGCCCAGACCCCACCCCCGCCTCCCGGCGGCGCACGCACTTTTCCAGACGTGCACAGACCCAGCCGACACGGAGACACCCAGACAAGTAGCACTACCGAGATCCGATCAGAACATGCACACGTGAGCACAGGCGCACACAGGCACACACAGGCACACACACTCCAGTCTCCCCTTCGCCAGGTGTGAGGCTGTGGGGTCTGTTGCCTCCCCCCCCCACCTCGCAGCCAGGTGCACAGGGAGTCACCAATCACCTGCCTGGTCACTTATGAACACTGCCCTAGACTCCGCAAAGCAGGGGACCCTGAACCCAAGCCCCAGAGAAGCCCAACCTATTGATCTCCAGGTCTGGCCAAGTGTGCCAGAAAGGATGACACCAAGATCAATGTCCCTCCAGACCAAGCCCAAAGAGAGGGGTGTGCTTCTGGGTCTTGGGCCAACCTTAGAAAGAACACAGAGCTTTGGGAGGGGACAGTGGCCTGAGAAACTTGAGAACATGCTTCTTAAGGGATACAAAACCCCCAAAAGCAAAGTCCCCACCCATCCAGCTTCCTGGAGGAAGAGACATAGGCCTACAGATGTCTGGTCTGACACAGACACTGAGGCAACCTCTGTAGGAGGGCAAACCCCGGGCAGACCCAGCTTGCTGTTGAGCCAAGGGCCCAGGGTCTCAAAATCTTAGCTGGGCCTAGAGTGACCAGAGGTGGCTGGCTTCAGGGGTGTCCTGAGGGCCTTTGCCCCCCCCCAGGGCAAATCCCCTTTCTTAGGTGAGGAAGGGTGGCAGCATCTCCTGGGATGGGCCAAGCTGAAGTCCAGGAGTGTCCCGCCAGCCTAATTCCTAAAATGCCTTCCTGTGGGTTATGCATTGCCTTCTCCTAGCCCCTTCTCTCCACAGAGCTGGGGGTCTGGGCCAACTTTCCCCCAGGGTAAGGGGGTGGGGTCACCTCTGCCGGATGTTCCCTCCCTTTCCAACCCCCCCCCCCCAGGAGGATGCACTGCGGGAGGGAGGACGGATGAGACGCAACAGTTTTCCTTCCTCTCTTCCTGGCAGGTGAAGCACTGTGGGGGCATGGGGACAGGCAGGAGCTCCTACTTTGCCTAAAAAAGGAAGCGCCTGGCGGCGGAGCCGAAGAGCTGGCGGCGGGAACAAGTGAGAATTGTGTCGTCGCCGTCCCCCACCCTCTTGCCGGGAATCTTGGCAGTGGCAGTGCTGGCTCAGTTCCACAGACCTGAGGCCTCAGCTGGGACCAGAAACTACTGGTGCTTCCCGCCTGGGCCCTGTCGGGAGAGTAGAGAGGAGCTTGAGCCCTGGACCCAGGGATGTGCCACTCAGAGGTGCCTGGGCTGATGAGGGCTGGCTGCCTCCTTGGAGGGTGATGAGATGGAGGCACTGGACAAGTCAGCAGCAGCTGGGGTGGGTGGGCCTAGGTCCCAGCAAGGGGGCTGATCCTGGACCCTGTAGGAGGCATGCCTAGGTTGCCTTGTGCAAATATGTCTCCCTGAGAACCCACTGTGGACCTGCCGCAGTAGGGAGCTGGACCGTGGTGCATCTGCCCTGTGGGGAGCCCTCTGGCTTGCAGGCAGTCATCCCATTTGTCCCCCGACTCCTGTTGGCCCTGAGAGGGCCTCAGAGGCAGGGAACTTAGCTGGACTCAGGAGGCCCACAGTCACACCTCCGCCTGTGCTAGGCTGACGGGGAAGTTTCCATACCTTCTGGAAAAACTGAATGGGTCTTGTTGGCCGTGTCTCAGGCCCTCAAAGAAACAGCAATCCTCCTCCCTCCAGCTGTGCCATCAGAAGCAGAAAGGACCAGGGAGGCCCAGCCTCGGGATAGCCAGCCGGGCCTGCTGCCCACAGTCACTGCTGCTGCTCTACTGAGCTCTGGCCTCACACCCCCAGGACCCTCCCCTAGCAGCTCCAGCCTGTTCCCCTCTGTCCCCACTGTTGCCTCTAGCCTCAGAGGTGAGACCTGGGCAGGCAGAGGGTCCCCTGGGAGCGAGTGGGGTCAACCAGAGGTGTGGTGGTCAGGACCAGGCCAGGTCCTGACACCAGAGGAAGCATAAATAAAATGATCCGGAAACCTCCTCTTGAAGGGAACAAGGACTTGGGGGGTGAGAAGGGCAGGGACAGCAAGGGGCAGAGAGGTGGGGTAGGGGCAAGAGGGACAGGTCAGTACAGGTCACAGCAAGTCCCTGGCCCCACAGCCTTCCCTTCCCCAAGCTCAGTCCTTCCCTGCCTGGTCTAGGCATCTTGGGGACCCAGGAGGAAAGGCCAGGCCCCATGGCTGAGCCTTCTCTGTCCCCATGGCCCAGCACAGATCTGGGGGTCCTAAGCCTCGCTTCCCAAAGATGCTTCCCCTTCACCAGTCTGCATATAGGTGGGGGAGATTCTGGGGTTCTTTGCTCCCCAGGGACACTGGCCAGCCGGGCACCACCCTGCCCCCACCCAGGGTCCTTGGGAATGCTCCCTCCTCCGCTGCACAATCCAGCTTCTCTAGAGAAGAAGGGCCTTTTGTCTCCAGCTCAGATGTGATCATGCTCGACCCCAGGGAAAGGGCAGCTCCCTGGGCCTCAGTCACCACCCCTGACCCCATCCCTGACCCCAGCTGAGGGCACAGTATGGGGCCTAGGCCTCCACCCCACTCTGTGTGCTGGTGTTTTTTTCGATCTTCATAGCACAGGCACATGCTCCTGCACGCAAGCACATACACACCCACCCACACACCCACCAAAGGAACAGGAAGCAGCTGTGGGGGGTGGTATAGGCTGAAGCTGTTGACCCCTCCCCATAATATTGAGTGGGGCAGAGGGAGGGGGCAGTTAAGAGGAGCAGGCCTGACAGCTCCTTCCCACCAGCCCCCTCAGCCCCACCCACACATTCTTCTCAAGGGACCCGCCTGTCTGTGGTCTGGGACTTGCTGGGGCCTGAGGACCGACCATTCCTGGGGGCCTTTGGGTCCCAGCTCACTATTCTGCCAGCCCCCAGAGCTTACTTACCCCCACCCAGTCCCAGGTGGCCAGATTATACAGCTGGGAGTAGGCGGCCTGGGCACAGGGCATGGCAGGGGAGAGGGGGAGGGGGCGGCGGGGGGGGGCGGCACCTCTATTCATGCATTCCTCATCTCTGTGCTGTGTCTGGCACGTAGGGTGCTGGGGCCATTGGGGACCTGGCAGAGTCCCTGTCCCTAGAGTGTGTTCCTGTCTATAAGGGGATCCCATTGTGCATCTTAGCAAGGATGTTGCTGTTGTTATTTGCCATCGAGATACATGTCTTTATTTCCCCAAAGCAGGTCAAACAAGGTGGCCAGGCCAGCCTCTGGGGATGGCATTGGACAGAGAATGAAACAAGAGGGATACTGAGGCCTGGAGGGAAGAGCATCCCAGACAGAGGGAACAGCAGGGCCAAACCCCACCAGATGGGCTGGATTGGTGTGAATAAGGTTCCTAAGATCCTATGGGGGAGCTCTGGTAGCGTAGTGCCTAAGGCACTTGACTGCTAACCAGAAGGCTGGCGGTTCAAACCCACCAGCCACTCCTCGGAAGGAAGATGGGGCAATCTACTTCCATAGTGATACTGCCTCGGAAACCCAAGGAGGGGTCGCTGTGGGTCGGGCCCGACTTGACAGCACATAACAACAACAACAAGATCCTGTGGAAAGCCTCAGGCCAAGGGGAGCTGGTGTGAGGATTAAAGATTTTTGCTTTGTTAGGCCTAACTCCATATTGAGTAAGACTCCATATTTTCAGTTATGATGCCATGTCTTTAAAACCTGACTTCAACTTTGTGTTATAATTAATTTGTTCTCTCTCTAAGCTACAGTTATTAGTTCTTGCTGTACCCTGTGATCTAAGACAGACCCATCTGTGTCGATAAAGGCTCCTGGGTCAGACTTTCCGATTGGTCACTCAGACTTTGATGAACACCAATAAAGTCTCTTAAGGATTACCTGACTGCTGGGCACTCACAGGAAACATACTTTTCTTTTTAAATTTTATTGTAATTTGGGTGAACATTTATAGAACAAATTCATTTCAAATACAGCAGCTCACATACAGTATGTTTCATGATGTTGACTGCAATTTCCTACAATGCAACAGCTCCCGTCCCACTTCCTCCCCATAGTTACCTCTTCCCTGTATCCTTCCTGTCCATGCACTCCTGCCCCCTGAGCTGTCTCCCTGTGCATACACAGCCCTTCTATTCTCCCATGAATGATCTCTCCAAGGAGTGTATCTGCCTAGTGTAAATGTTCAGCTCATATGCCTGTCTTTTGTTTGGCTGGAAGCCACAGGAGTGGTTTCAATTCCAGACCTGAAGGGCAGTTAGGGGCCATAGTCTCAGGGGTTCCACCAGGCTCTATCAGACCAGCAAACCTGGTCCTTTTTTTTTCTTTAATGATTTTGAGTTTTGTTCCACATTGTTCTCCCTCTCTATCCAGGATCTCCTACATAGAGCCCCATCCGAGTGGTTAACAGTTGTAGCCGGGCACCATCTAGTTCTTCTGGTCTCATAGTTGTATAGGCTGAGGATCACATGGTGTACCAGTCTCTTGGACTAATTGAAATATTCTTTTCTTAATTATTCATTGTCCTATCTAACTTTTGGAAAATGTTAATTAATCCTGCACACTTGCTGTATCTCTTTTGCTTTAGTATAAGAACCTTGATTGTAAATGCTGAGCAGAGTGGGCCTTTTTTGGAGTCACTAAGACCCCATCTGTCTCTAGCTGGTGCACCTCCTAATTAAACTCTCCCCTTCTCCTTGACCACCATTTGTCTGTCAGTGTGTCATACTGTGGTGGCTTGCATGTTGCACAGAGGCTGGAGGCTATGCCACTGGTATTTCAAATACTATTAGGGTCACCCATGGTGGACAGATTTCTCCTTGAAATCTGGTGTGGACAATTGGCTGTAATGCGTCAGGGCCGGCCCTGGTATTTTTCAGGTAACGCTGACAGGATTGAGTAGTGGAAGCAGCCACGGGCCTGTGACTCTGCTCCTGTGTAGGCATAGCCTGAGGTGCCCAGGTAAGCCCAGGGAGAGTCTAACAGGTCAGAGGTGGGTCATGCCTCAGTGCTCAGCCTCTGCACTGGATTAAATCTTGGGACCTCCTTCTTCATGGGACCCCTTGCTTTGCACTGGCTATTCCCTCTGCTGTGAAGGGATGCCTGGCCCTGCCCTGACCCCCAAGCCAAGTCCTACTTGGTACAGAGTCAAGAAGTCTTCAGCTAGCTGTCTGGAACTCTTTATAGGGAAGGAAGGAGGTTTGTGTCCAGAATTGCCAGCAGGGTGTGGACTGGTCTATGTCACACCTTGGCAGAGTGGCTTCTCCAAAGATGGGAAAGGGAAGTACCAGGAAGGAACAGAGACTCCCAGAGCCAGCTCACCCATCCCAGCTTGGTCGCCCCAGGCAGTGATTTCTGCCTGGCATAGGGTGGGCCCATATTCCTGGGTAGGGGGCAGCCCCCCCCAGGTTGACAGGGTGGGGTGGTGGTGGTGCTTGAAGTAAGGAGATGCAAGTGAGCTCAGGAGGAAGACCCTGAGACCCTGGGAAAGGATCTCGGTGGAGGGAGGCGGGGCGGGGGGAGGGTACAGAAGGGTATGTGGAAGACACCTGAACTCCCAGGAAATACTTTCTAAATGAATAGCTGACCTTTGGCTCTCGGGGAGCCACCAGTAAAGTGAATCCAACACCCCCTCTGATGGGCTCTGGGGGAGCAGAAAAGGCCACACAGAGAATCAGATGCGGCCTGCCCCACTCCTGTGGGGGCCCTGGGTTGGCCAGGTGGTTCTTTACAAGGCAGAGGCCAGGCCCGCGGAGATCTTCACCTGGCTGCCCAGCAGGTTTGTCCCTTGGAAGCCAAATGCAGGAGACCTTCAGGATGCAGCTAGGTGAGCCCGATGGAGGCTGGGAGGCCGGTGGGCAACTCCAGGCTTGGGGTGGAGGCTCTGAGGGTGAGGAGCAGAGATGAGGGCTGGACTCTGGACTCGGAGGAGTCCTGAGGGAGGGAGCTTTTGTTATGGGCTCCTTGCTTCTCTCAGGGTGGGGAAGGCAGAGATTGGGGAGCGGGGCGGGGGGGGGGAGTTGTTAGAAGGGGTGGGCAGAGGCCACTTGCTCCAGGCCTTGGTGAATAGGAAACCTTGTGACCCCAGGCTCCCAAAAGGGGACCAGAGGACAGTGCAGGAAGAGCCAAAGGCAAGGGTGTAGAGCCCCCTCCTCCTGCCCCAGCCCCCGGGGCCTGTTCCCATCCTCTCTCCCCTGGGTCAACCCCTGCCTTGGCCTTGGCCCTCACTTGCCTTCCCTACCCCCCTCTTGATTCCCTGCAAGCAGCCGCCTCCACCTCCATACTCTAAAGCTGCTCTTTCCTCCCCACAAAAGCAGACCCCAGGGCCTCTTCTGTGAACTGCCTTCAACAGCCACCTCCCCTCCCACCCCCAGATGTTCCTCTTGTGAATAGTCAGGGCTGGGACCAAAGCGGATTTATCCCAGTACTGCTAAGGCCTTCACACCCCTGGGCCAGCTGATGGCTCCAGGGTGTCCTGGGAAGTGGAAGAACACCTTTAGGGAATCAATTTGGCCTCAGGCCCCACCTCCACACTGACTCCCCTCTAGACAAGCAGGGCTCCCCCGCTGCGACCTCCCCACCCCCACCAGGCCCAGCTGTTGTTTTGATGACTCTGGGGCCAGGATGATCCTCAGCCAAGGACTTCCCAGGAGAATCCTCATCCTTGAAGCTTGGCGTCTGTCAGAGCCTGTCCAACCCTGGGCAGGAGGAGAGGAAGGCAGCTATGGCCCAGGGGAAGTTATCCTTGGCTGCTTGGCAAGGGGCCCAGCTCCTGTCTATCCAGGAAAAGCATTGGAGGTGGGCATAGGCAACGGTTGGAAAACCCCAAGAACTCCTACTGGACTTGATCCAACCACATACCGGACTCTGCTTAAGGCCACAGACGGAGCCCTGACCCAAGTCACAGGCTGAGTCCTGACCCTGGTCATATCCTAAACTCTGATCCTGGCTCCAGACTGAGCTATGACCCTTGGCCCAGCCTAAGCTTTGATCCTGGCTGCAGACTGAGCCCTGGCCCTGGTCCTGGCCCTACACAGAGTTTTGATCCTAGTCATAACCCTGAGTCCTGATCCTGGTCCTAAATTGAGCTCTGACCATGATCATATCTGAGCCCTGAGCTCTGGTCACAGGCTAAGCCCCTGTTGGTCACAGGCTGAGTCCTGCTGGCAATACGGCAGACTAGAGCCTCTAAAAGATCTTTCAGCTATAACTAGATTCTGGATGAGTTACACACTTTTTAAACACACTGCTGGGCTTACAGGGAGCAAAGCCCCCACCCCAAATTTAAACTCTGAAAATTCAAAAATAAAAGAGTATTGAGCAGAAACCAAATATGATGATATTAAGTAAATGAGAATGTGGAGGATTCTTGGAGACAGAGCCAAAGTACCATCAAGGAAGCAAGCCTTGGGTGCTTTGGTTATGAAATCAGGACCCTTAAGGACCCTCAAGGGAGCCCAAGCTGGTCATGTCCACAAAAGTGAATGCTTTCTGGAGGGAAAATCCCCAAGGTAAAACTTCAGAATTATCACAGGTAGGGGATAACAATGAAAAATTACCAAACATTCAAAGAAACATTACACCCTTGGTGAGACACATTAAAGACAACAAATAAATTTAGACCTCCTAAAGACTAGGATATTGGACTTGTTAGGTACAGAATAAAAACTAGCTACATATGAAATGCTTAAGAAGTCAAAGATGGAATCCAAAAATGATGTATGCACTAAGATACCATTAAAAATAATCAAGTACATTTGAAAAATAACCAAGTATTATAACTTTTAGATATGATCATAATTTTAATTAAATGGGTGATTTTAATCAAAAGTTTAAACAAGAGGAATGAGAGAATAAGTGAACTAGAGAAAGAAGATAAATATTATTTACAATACAGCATGGAGAATGAATCCATAGAAATAGGAACACAATGTATACCAAAGAGAGAGAGACAACCATATCTATATATACCTAGATACATGCTGGTAAAACAATGTTGTTGTTATGTGCCGTCGAGTCGGACCCGACTCATAGTGACCCCTCTTTCCTCCTTGGTTTTCTGAGGCGGTATCACTATGGAAGTAGATCTCCCAACCTTCCTTCTGAGGAGTGGCTGGTGAGTTTGAACCACCAGCCTCCTGGTTAGCAGTCAAGTGCTTTAGGCACTACACTACCAGGTAAAACAATAGAACACCAGAGAAAAAGAGATCTTCAAATTAGCCAGAGAAAAAAGACTGCACTCTTGCTCTGCTGTCTATGTAAAGCATAACTCTGGCCACAGGTTGAGCCCAGACCTTGGTCACAGGCTGAATCCTGACTCCAGTCACAGGTGGAGCTCCAGTATCAGGTTGAGCCTTGACTTTGGCCAAAGGTGAGCCCTGACCCAAATCACAGAATGAGTCCTGACCCTGGCTAAAGGATGAGCCCTGCTGCTGGCCACCAAATGGGTTCTGGAACTGCTTTGGCTTTCACCTGACTGTGGATGTCTCCCAAGCAAGCCTCACCACCTCTGGAACTTACTGGATACAGTTACCAGGGTGCCTGAGAGCCTGAGCAGGGGTCCTTGGCTTCTACTGACAGAGAATTGAACAGGAGAGGCAAAATATCCACATGAACCAAAGTTTATTAGACAGAAAAGGGGAGCAATGGAGAGGGGCTTTTGCTTCTGTTAGCTTCATGTCTCTCCCTCAACAAAGGGATTCCTAAGGTTTATAAGGGGTCGGGGAGGGGTACATCATCTTTATTCATGAAAGATGTGGGGTTCTGAGGTTCAAGTTAAGAATTCGTGATGTCTCTGGATCCAAGTTCAAGCCCCAGTGAGAGATTCTTGTTCTTGCTGTGCCCCTCACGTTGACCTTTACTGTGCATATTCTGCACCTGGTGGGTGGCTAATGAGAAACTTAAAAAAAAAAAAAAAAAAAAAAATCTGGAGGTTTATCAGCATTTTACAAGCAGTTAAGCTTAGGGCCCTTTAATTTGCGGCCTCTTTTATCTTGCCCAAGCACTCGTCTTGCCAACTACCTCAGTTTTCTGAAGCCAGCAGTCAGAATTATGTGGTGGTCTGCCCGTAGGCTAAAATTTCAATGGTATGGAGTCAGGAGCCTGTTTGACCTGGCTAGCCCGATTCTCTGCCTGTCTCAATACCAATACAGACCTGCTCCCTAACCAGACATAGGGAAGCAGAGACTCTTCCTTGAACGAGCAGGGGCCCAGGGCTGCTGCAGGGGAAGAAGCCAAGAGGGCCACCTTTCCCCTGGCCCGGCCATCTTCTTCTCTGAGGGGCTTCCATCCTCCCTGGGACACTTCTGGCCTCTGTGCAGCAGGAAAGGGGCGACCAGTGCTGCTGGTGAGCCTGGTGTGGACAGTTCTGGGGAGAGCGGACTCGGTCCGGGGAAGTCCGGTGCCATCTCGTGGCCACTCGGAGCACTGCGTGCAGAGCGATATCCCGAGGGGACCTGGATGCAGACCCAGAGTTCTCCAGGCAGCGGTCACTTCACGGAGGTCGCGGTGTAGCTCCGGGCCTCAGGGATTTGGAGGTCTTGGGGTCTTCTAGAGAGGCCTCTGAGTCACACCCGGGCGCAAAACTGTTCCTCCTCGTCCAGGGCGTGGCCCCTCAGCTCCCCGCCGCCAGACCCTGAATGGCGGTGGGGATCGGGGGCCAAAGAAGGGGGCGACAGCAGGTGAAGGCGTCGGGCCAGGCAAGCGCGGGCTGCGGAGGCGAGCACGAGCAGCGGGGGCAGGGAGAGGAAGCCGAACACGATGAGAGTCGCGGAGCCGCCGTCGGAGAGCAGCGTGCGGCATGGGGGGCGGGGCGCCGGGTGGACCTGAGGGCGGGGCGGGTGGTTAGGACCTAGGGGGCGGGGCTGGGAAAGGGGCGGGGTCCGAAGTCGGCAGAGGAGGGGGCGGGGGATGGAGGCGTTGCCTTGTAAGGCTTGGGGCCAGGGCAGGGAAGGGAGGAGGCGGGGCCCAGGAACGAATGGACCAGGAGGCGAGGCAGGTGGTCAAACCCGTGACTGGATCGAAATAGGTGGGGCATAGAGGCAGGGGCGGGCATAGAGGCGTGCTCTTGGAATGGGTGGGACTTAAACGCGGCCGGAGAAGGAGGCGGGGCGAGCTTTCAAGTCCCAAGGGGATGGGTCCTGGGGGCGAAGCCTGAAGTAAGGTGAAGTGGGCAGTCTGAGGCTCGCTGGGGGCCAGACAATGAGATTTAAGTGGGAGATCGGGGACCCTGGCTAATGCAGCTAGGGTTCCCTTGTGTTGAAGCTCAGAGAATTGCTTTCTGGCGCTCTGACCCTCATTTTCCTCCTCCTGCTCCTTCCACCTGGCCCCTCCCTGTGATGGCACCTGACCTTGATCCTATCTATTGCTGGAACCTTCTCTGCAGCCCTCTCTCTCTCCTTGTCCAGCCCCCTCCCCAGCCCTAGGCATAGAGATAGGGACTCATCTGCCTATGCCCTCCCTGCCCTAGACCATGCCACAGCCCATTCCCCAAGGGGTAAAATCCAGATGGGGCAAGAGAAATCCGGTAGTGAGTGAGGGAGTGAGGCCTGGGGAAGGACTATGGGAGGGATATATTTGGCAATATTTTCATCTTCTTTCCCTAGAAGCCTCTCTCTCCCCATCCTGGCCCAGCTGTCTAGGCCTGGTGGCCCCTGGTACAAGGCTGGGAGATCCCAGGGGAGGAAAGAGGAAAAAAGAGCTTCTTTTATGGTCAGTGTGGGGAGGTGGCAAAGAAAAGGGCTCTGCAGGGAGAGGCACACATGGCAGGAGCTTCTGCAGGACCCCTCCCCAAGCCCCAGGCAGTCTCCCACCCAGGAGGGCTCAGCTCACCCTGGAGTGGCACAGGAAGCCCAGGTAGACAACGGCAGCTGCAGGCAGCAGCACCAACAGGAACACCATCACCGACAGCAGCAGGTGGAGCAGGAGTCCAGCCAGGGCCCGGCCCGGCAGCACTAGGGTCCCCAGACCCCGTGTAGCCAGCCTTGCCCACCCTGGGGACATCAGGGCTGAGGCCTGGTGATCAAGGGCCCTCTGGGGAAGCATGGGTGCTGTGTCCGAGGTGCCCCCTCCCTCATCTTCCTCCGTCTCCCTCTCCTGTTCGCTCATCACAGCAGGATTCTGAGGTCACTAAGTGACCTGAGGTCCTACAGGGTCAGACTAGTGACCCTTTAACCCACCCACAAATAGGACTGGAGTCTTAGACCCCCACCCAGACCACAGGCACCAGAAAGAGGATCCAGCTGAATGACAGGAGCCTAGGCCAGGAAGCCCCGGCCCTGACAATCAGTGCCAGGGCACAGACCCCTGCCTCGGTTTTCCTCCGACATCAGGTTAGGTCTTTTGCTGCCAGGCGGCCACAGCTCTGGCCCTGACTGTCTCCCCAGCCAGCTCCTGTGTGCTCTGGTCAGGCCTGGTACAGCTGTCCCCACAGCTGGCCATGGGTCCCTCCTCCCTCCTGGTCCCGCCTCTCCCTCCAGCTCACCCAGACAATGCCTGTTGTTCATGGTCTTGACTTTGCCATCGTGGCTGCCATGTAAAATCAGCACCCACCCTGCTCCCCAGTCCTGGCCCTGCTGGGCCCCTCATCTGAAGACCCAGCCCCTCCTCAGCCTTGGTAAAACAAGAGGAACACTAACATCCACATTGTGGGGTTGCTGTGAGGAAGAAATACATGTGAAAACACTTAGTGTGGGGCCCAGCACATAGTAGGAGCACAGAAAACAATTACAGGTATCCTTTGTGTTTGAATACAATCCACCACCCTGACAACAGACAGGATAGCAATTTTCAGAGCATGTCTTCCAAGATTTCAAATGGGAGGGAGCGTTCCAAGCACATCCAATGTCTCAGTCACTTAGGGCTGCATTAATAGAGATACTACAAGTGGGTGGATGGCTTTAAGGAACAGAAATTTATTTTCTCACTGTTCTGGAGGCTAAAAGTCCAACAGAGTCTTAGCTATGTGGATTTCTTCTGTGGGCCTTTCTGCTAGTTTCTGGTATCTGCTGGTGATCCTTGGTGTTGCTTGGCCAAAAACCCCAACTGAAAAACTCTTAACACCTTTCAGCCCACCAAGGTTTTCTTGCCTAACATAAAGAATTGTAAACACTGTTTACATAGTTACCTGACACTTAAGCTAATGAGTAGATTGTTTGTGAGCTGAGTGGAAGGTATGAAATCAGATACCAATTAAGTTTCCCTTTTACACCTTCTCCTGCTCTCTGAGATCCCTTCCAATTTTTCTTCTAATCCATGGGATTTTCCAGACCTCTCAGGCTGGCCGGCTTCCCTCAGACCCATGTGGACAGGGAGGTGACAACGGTAGTGCCCAGCACCACGTTTGAGCAGTGCAGGCCTGAGATGTGCCCAGTGGAAAATAGCTGGAGCTTCCTGTCATTCCCCACCAAACCCTGTTGCCTGATGGGGTGCTGTGAATTACTTTGTATGGCCTTTATAGCCATAGACTTTGTAACTCCCACTGCTTTACTGGGTGAGCCCATGTAAATAAGCTGTGTAGAACCCTGATGTTCGGATTGGTTAGTTTTGTCATTTTCCCAGGCTTAAAATAAGTCCTCTTAGAGGCAGAGAGGGGATCTTATTGCCATCAAGAGAGAAGAACTGGAGGTGAAGTAGAGTGTGTCCTTGGACCCTAGATCCCTGCATGGGACCTCTTTGGTAGAGACTCATGGCAGAGAGAGATGCCTCAGCAGAAAGAGAGACAGTCACAGTGGAACCAAGAGGTGGGCTTACCTGGCCCACAGAGTGAGAAAGCTGAGTGCCCTTGGGCAGGAGGCTTGCTGAAAGAGTGGGGTGCACCTAGGTGTACCTATCAGCAGAACTAAAAGAACTTTGTAATATTTCCCCAAGCAAGGCAGAGGCCAGGCTGAGAGGCCAAGGGCCAGAGAGTGTGCCTGAGGGCATAGCAGAGGGGAGACTGTCCTGATCGAATAATTGTATCCTGAGCTCTTTCCTGAACCTGAATTGTAGCCTATTACTTCCCTAATAAACCCCACAATCATGAGTATTGTCTATGAGTTCTGTGTGGCCATTGCAATGAATTATTGAACCTAGCAGAGTAGTGAGTGCCGTGGAAAGGATGGTTGGTGTCAGAATTGGTAAAAGGCTGGAGGGTGGCAGCATGTCTGGCCTCACAGGAATAAGCGCTGGGCTGTTGATGGTGATTCTGGCTTCCACTTGTGAAGTTACAGGAGGTCAGAAGATGCCACCTCCATGTCCTTTTTGCACCTGACTTGCATGCTTCAGTGTAGTAAATTACTTAGTGTGGCTTTTCTACCCATAAGTCTTTGTAAACTCCAAGGTGGGATTTGCTATGAGCAACTGAGGAGCTCCTGATTGCTAAAGTTGTCCACCTGGAGTATTTCTGTTGGGAGTGGCACAAAACAATGTTCTGGGAGGTGTCCACTCTCTCTCAGGTGCTTAGAGTTCTGATGCTATGATTGGCTAGTTTGGCCACTCTGCCAGGCTCAAAAGGAGGCCTCCTAGAGGCAGAACCCTCTCTGACTGCTGGTTGAGGAAGATGTGCTGCTGAAAGAGACACGTGCTGCTGGGAAAGGGACACAAGAGACGCGCATTGCTGAGTGAGACACCGAGGAACATGCACTGCTGGGAGAGAGATTGTGAGAGACTGTTGGCTGAGGGATGGTGGGCTGGAAGAGAGACTGAGTGTTTTTCCTGAACTTGAATTGTAGCCTGGTGCTTCCCTAATAAATCCCATAACCTGTGAGTTCTGTGTGGCCGCTGCAGTGAATTATCGAGCCCAGGAGAGAGGTGGTGGGTGCTTTAGGAAGAATGGTTGGTGAAAGGGCTGGAGGGAGGAAGCATGTCTGGCCTTGCAGGAATAGGCCTTGGGCTACTGATGGTGATCCTGTCTTCCTCTTGTGGGGTTAGAGGAGGTCGGAAAGAAATTTAGTTCTCATACATTCTTAGACATGGATGGATCTTGCAAACATTATGCTCAGGAAAAGAACCCATATACAAAGGGACAAATATTGTATGATCCTGTCACTATGAGATATCTATAATAGGAAATGCATAAAGACAGAAATTAGATTAGTGATTACCAGGGACTGGGGAAAGGTGGAAATAGGGAGTTATTACTCAATGGATTGTATCTGTTTAGGGTGATAAAGTTTAGAAATGAAAAGTGGTGATGGTTGCACAACACTGTGAATAAATCAAAGCCACTGGATTTTACACTTAAAAATTATTAAAATGACAAATTTTATGTTCTATATATTTAACTGTGGTGAAAACATGTCCTCCAAAATGTCTAGCCACACAACAACTTCCACATTTACAACTCAATGACATTTATTACATTATGTTCTATATGTTTCACCACAGTAAAAAGTTTAAAATAATTTTTGAAATTATATTTGGATAGAATTTCAGTAGAGAAAATACCTCTGTTATCTCCTTTCTAAGCTTCACCCTCTCCTCACTTAGGACCCTCGTTCACTCACTCATTCATTCATTCATTCATTGAACAATCATTCACTGAGCTCCTACTATGTACCAGTCTCTGTTCTAGAATCTGTGGACTCAATGGTGAATGAGGAGGACAAAGGCTGCTGCCCTGTAGGGGCACGGCTCTGTGCTGGTACCCTGATGATCTTGCACATATCCACATAGGCCATGCAGGAGAGCTGCTGCTGACCTAAGTCTCAATAAATGCCCTGTGTTCCTCCTAGAACATGGGAAGACCAGCAGTCTTTTTTTTTTTTTTTTCTCTTAATTGTGATTTCAGTGAAAGTTTACAGAGCAAATTCACTTTCCATACAGCAGCTCACACACACTTTGTCTTATGACGTTGACTACAATTTACCACAATGTAACAGCTCCTCTCTCACTTCCTCCCCATAGTTACCTCCTCCCTGTACCCTTCCCGTCCATGCACTCCTGCCCCCTGAGCTGTCTCCCTGTGCACACACAGCCCTTCTTTCTGCCATGATTGTTCTCTCCAAGGAGTGTATCTACCTAATGTAAATGTTCAGCTCATATGCTTGTCTTTTGTTTGGCTGGAAGCCACAGGAGTGGGTTCAATTCCAGATCTGAAGGGCAGTTAGGGGCCATAGTCTCAGGGGTTCCACCAGGCTCTATCAGACTAGCAAACCTGGTCCTTTTATTGTTTGTTTTTTTAAATGAAGACCAGCAGTCTTATGAAGAGCTGCCACAAAGCCACTTCTCACCCACTTTCTATCTCTACGGAGGCTGTCCAAGGGGCTTCTTATGGCTTCTTGGTTCTGATGAGGCAGCGGCTTCCCACCCTTTTCTTGCCCCAGGTACAGCTACAGGCTACATACAGAACTGCCCAGTGCAGCATGGCATGGAGTGCCCCATTCCCATGTTTGTTGCTCATCCTGGGGAGCAGACTTTGGGGCTTGTGCTGTCTGTAGAAGTTGTCAACCTCAGGATACACCCAGGGCTCATCATTCTTTACCAGCTGGTCTACCACCTGAGTGATGCACCATCACGGTACTCTCACTCTAGAAGTATTGTGGTTGAACTGTGTCCCCCAAAATTCATGTTCAGGTCCTAACCTCAGTATCTGTGAGTATGACCATGTTTAGAAGCAGTGTTTGGAGATGTCATCAGTTGACATGAAGTCATACATGGAGCAGATAGATAGCTGCCATCAAGTTGACTCTGACTCATAGTGACCCCATGAACAATAAGAGGAAACATTGCCTGGTTTTGTATCATCTTCACAATCACCAGCATGTTTGAGTACATTGTTGTGACCACTGCGCCAATCTGTCTCACCAAGGGTCTTCCTTGCCCTTGCTGGTCCTCCTCTTTACCAAACATGATGTCATCCTCCGGTGATTAATCCCTCCAAAGTAAGAGAATTGGACAGTGTTCAGTTGTGAATCATAAGGTTTTCAGTGGCTAATTTTCAGAAATAGATCACCAGGCCTTAATTCCTAGTCTGTCTTAGTCTGGAAGCTCCACTGAAATCCATCCCCCATGGGTGATGCTACTGCTGCTGGTGGAAATCCAGGCTCTGCTCACCATGACTTGTTATAGCCAATACACCAGAGACAGAGGTGAGATAAGGCACCTTTATTCCTTTGGCCAAGGAAAGGAATAGCTGGGTCTAGGGCCTCCAAGAATGCTCCAAGGAAGGCTCCTTCAAGCTTCTCTTATATACATAGTTTATAAAACAGGAAGTCATACAAAATCACGAGTATACATATTTCTACATTCTATCCAAAAAAACCCCACTGCCATCTAGTCAATTCTGACTCATAGCAAACCCTATTAGGTTTCCAAGGTGGTAAACCTTTATGGAAATGGATTGCCTCATCTTCCTTCCACAGGGTGGCTGGGGGGCTTGAACCCTCAAGCTTCTGGTGATATATCTTGAGTATATCCCATCTGAATTTAGAGACCTTCTGAAGAATAGATGTGACACATTGAATACCAATGACCACTGTACCACCACAGTGTCTTCTATGCAAGTGTAATTAGGATTACCTACTTCTGCATACATCACATGTATAGAAAATGGCAATTAAACTCCACCCAGAGGCAGAGAAGTTAATATTCATGAGATACTTAATGACTTAAAGGTCACCTAAGGTAAAAGATGGCTGCCAAACCTACTCAGACTGGTTTTGGCTAGCCCAGGGAGGTCAGGGTAAATAGGATAAGAGGTAGGGGTTGGTACACTTAGCTGTCCTACTTATCTTGTAGGGCCAGTATGCTCTGTCATACTGCTAGTATTTGAAATAACAGTTGCATAATTTCCAGTAATATAGCCACACACAGCCACCACAGTACTGCAAACTGACAGATGGGTGGTGGTACTGGAGTAGGTTCAGTCCTAATCTCATTACATCTGTGTCCTTGTGAAGAGAAGACAGAGAGACAGACAGAAGAAAGACGGCCATGTGACAATGCATATATAAGCCAAAGAATGCCTGGGCTCATCAGAAGCTGAGGACAAACCAAAGACGGATCTTCCCCTACAGCCAAAATTCTGAATTTGGACTCAGCCTCCAGAATGAGACAATAAATTTCTGTTCATTAACGCCACCCACTTTGACATGAATGGAGTAAAGCCTTCGGGACCTTTGTTTGCTGATGTGGCACGACTCAAAATGAGAAGAAACAGCTGTTAATGTCTATTAATAATTGGAATGTGGAATGTACAAAGTATGAATCTAGGAGAACTGGACATTGTGAAAAATGAAATGGGATGCATAAAGATCAATATCCTACACATCAGTGAGCAGAAATGGACTGGTATCAGCCATTTTGACTTGGACAATCATATGGTCTACTGTGAAGGAAATGACAAATTGAAGAGGAATGGCATTATATTCATCATCAAAAAGAACATTTCAAGATCTATCCTGAAGTACAATGCTGTCAGTGATAGGATAATATCCATACTCCTACAATGAAGACCAGTTAATACTACTATTCAAATTTACATACCAACCACTAAAGCCAAAGATGAAGACGTTGAAGATTTTTACCACCATCTGCAATACTGGTGATTGGAATGTGAAAGCTGGAAACAAAGAAGGATTGGTAGTTGGAAAATGTGGCCATGGTGATAGAAATGATGCCAGAGTTTGCATGATAGAATTTTGCAAAACCAACAACTTATTCATTGCAAATACCTGTTTTCAATAACATAAACAGTGACTATATACATGGACCTCATCAGATGGAACACACAGGAATCAAACTGACTAAATCTGTGGAAAGAGGCAATGGAGAAGCTCTATATCCTCAGTCAGGGGCTTTGTCCATTTTGAATCTAGACATAAATTCAGATGCCATTTTGATCATTAAACCAGCAATGTGTTGTTGTTATGTGCCGTTGAGTTGGACCTGACCCATAGGGGCCCCTTCTTGGGTTTCCGAGGCAGTATCTTCCTTCCAAGGAGTGGCTGGTGGGTTTGAACCGCCAGCCTTCTGGTTAGCAGTCAAGTGCTTTAGCCACTACACTACCAGAGCTCCCAAACCAGCAATGTGACTATGCTTATAAAGTCCAGGACAAACTGGGGAGGGAAAGTATGTGGTTGAAAGTAGATTATGCTCACACAAAGGACTAGGGAAATTGCCTGGGTGTGTCCTTAATGATTTACCAACAATAGCTGAATGTTACCTAATTTAAATGAAAGGCTAAGGTCCTGGTATTGTCTTGTAGGAACCTTGAGGCCATGACTCATGGTTATATTATCATGAGTCATACCCTGGCTACTGCGTAGCCATGTGGTCAAACCCCAGAATTCGATCCTGTAAGCCTTTTTAATCTTCAATTGTGTACAATCCCAACATGGTCCATTCCCTGCTTCTGCAATCCCACCTGCAACAATGATGAATTGACATACCACCAATCATGACTTTATGATTTTTTTACTCTATCAAATATAATAAACACCATGACTGTGACTCAGAGGACTCTAGTTGTCTTCTTTACTGTGTACATGCTGATTGTTTCCCTCATCCTGGATGATTGTCTTTGTTTTGTCTTAAAAAAAAAAAAACCCACAAATTCACTGCCATCGAGTCACTTCCAACTTATAGTGACCCTCATTGGGTTTCCAAGGTTGTACATCTTTATGGATGTAGATTGCCTCATCTTCCTCCACTGGAGCAGCTGGTGGATTTGAACAGCCAACCTTCTGGTTAGCAGCCAAATGACTTAACTGCTATACCACGAAAGCTCCTTTTGTCCTAAGGCTTAATAAAAGGGTTTCTATGGAACATACTTGAATCTGGGGTCTTTTGCCCCTAGCACAGCAGTCACAACAGGTGGCTGGTGGGGAGGAGCTGCTGGAATCTGCAGGCCAAGTGGTGTTCTAGCCATGCCAGCCTCCCATTTTCTCCCCAGCTCAGCCTGGTCTGGGCTCCAGGTAGGTGGCCATGCCCCAGGGATGGGCATGGGAAAGCAGCTATAGGGCCAGTCACTGCCCACCCACCCCAGGACCCAGGACTAGGTGACCTTCCATAAAGTCTGAGCCGTTCTCCTAGGAAATACCTCCTCATCCCTCACTGCCTTCACCCTGCCCGGCTCTGCCTCTTCACAGGCTTCCCTGAGTAGCTTCTATCTAGTCTCCAGGATGCCGCCCCCCAACACACACATACACACACTGCACTGACGCTTCACCAGGTCACCTGCCGGTGCCAAAGCCCATGGCTCTGTCTCTGCAGCACCCGTGTGGGAAGGAAGGTTCTGGTATAAGCCCCTTGACTCCCACCACCTCAGGAGAAGTAGGGCTCCAGTACTCAGGTGGTCCCAGAGACAGGGCCCTGGGGGAGAGGGCTAGGGGAGCCTGTCTCCCCAGGGGGCAAGTAAGAGCACATCAAAGGCCTGCTTCCTGGGGGAGGTGGGATCCAGGAGCTACAGTCCACAGGCGTGTTCCTGCTTGTCCTCCACAACCCCTCAGGCTTTGTTCCCTGGGAGAGAGGCTGGGCTGGGGGAGGTTGGAGCCTGGCAGGCAGTCAGGGCCTTCCCTTAAGTTGCCTGGTAAACAGTGAGGCAGGTAAACAGTGAGGCAGGTAAACAGTGAGGCAGGTGCCAGTTCTGTTACCCCCACATCTGCAGCTTCCAGACCCCATGTATTGCCTAAAGCCTGTCTGTGTGTGTATGTGTGTGCCGGGCCTTATTCAGCATGGAGAAGACCCCTGGAATGGAGAGGGCCCCCAGCGGGAGGACAGAATCCCTGAGCCTGCTGCCTCTGGGGGTAACTGGAAGCCAAACCCCTCATGGGGCCAGGGTGTGGCTGGGGCCCCTTGTTGTCCCGGGGACACCCTGGGCTGGGCTTTCCCACCCTCTGCCCACTACAGCGTTCATTCCTGTTGCCCCCAAACTGACTCCCAGCAGGAGCCAGGAAAGCCGACCTCTGCTGAGGCTGAGTCTGAGCAGGAACTGCGGTGGCTGGAGCTAGGTTCCGAGGTGGTCCTGGAAGCCGGGAAGGAGGGTGCTTATGCCCCACAGGGCTGGGGTCCCCTGTTCAAGGCCGTGTGGCTGGGTCAGGTAGGCCTGGTGACGCAGCTGCTGCGGCAGGGGGCCAGAGTGGAAGACAGGTGAGCCCAGGGGGGATTACATAAGGATCCATTCCCCTGGTGGGTAGGGGGGTAGGATCTTGTCACCGCGCCAACTCTGCCGTTCGCCCCCGCCCGCAGGGACGGCGCCGGCCGCAGCCCACTCCACCTGGCTGTGCTGCGCGGCCACGCTCCCCTCGTGGGCCTCCTGCTGCGGCGTGGGGCCCTGGCAAACGTCCCGGACAGCGCGGGGCGCACGCCGCTGCACGAGGCCGCCTGGCCTGGACACTCGCGACTGGCCGAGCTGCTGCTGCGGCGCGGGGCCCAGGCAACAGCGCGCTGCGCGGCTGGCCTCACGCCGCTGCACTGGGCCGCCGCGCTAGGCCGCCCTCTGTTGGCCAACCGTCTGCTGGGTGCGCCGGGCCCGGATCCTGCGGCGCTGGCAGCCCTGACCGACGCTCATGGCTGGACGGCGGCGCACTGGGCGGCGGCAGGAGGCCAGCTGCCGATGCTCGACCTGTTGCTAGCCGCGTGTGGCGGGGACCCAGACGGCGCGCTGCATGTGGCGGCCACGGCCGGCCGCGGGACGGCTCTCCGCCTCCTCCTGGAGCGCGGGGCGCGCGTGGACGCCCGGGACAGCGCGGGGGCCACGGCACTTGCCATCGCGGCCGCCCTGGGCCGCCAGCAGGTACGTCATCACCTCCCCGCGCGGGACCTGGGCTGGAGTAGGGGGCAGAGCAGCCTCAAGGCCCTCCTGCCGCTGCTGCAGCCCCGGGTGGGGGCGGCAGACAGGACGGAAGCTGCCGCAGAGATTTGCGCCCAGGATCACAGAGGATGGTGGAGGCTCAGACCCTCTATCTGAGGCTTCCTGTGGGCGGCGGCGGAGACAGAGCTGTCAGGCCCAAGGCTGGAGGAATGGAAGCTGGGGAGTGGAGGCAAGGGCAGGCCACGAAGGGCCAAGTTTTGAGTGCCACCGTGATTCGTACTCTTGGTGTTACTTTACCATTAGACTTCTCACGGCACCCAGGGTAGGGAGGGAGCCTTTCCTGGTGCTTAGATTTTATTCTTTATCTCCCGTCTGTACTTGGTCCAACCAGCCCCTAGGCAGTGGGGTGTGTGTGTATGTGTGTGTGGGGAGGGGGCGCGCGCGCGCGTGCACGCGCAGTGGTGTGGCTGCACAGTCTTGAATCTGATCTTATCTTGATTAGAGGGGAATAGAGCCCCACATGGAATGTCTTAGGCTCTGACTCATTTGCTAGAAGGAGAAGGAGGAATTCTGAGTCAGGCAAACACTGAGTGGTCCCATCTGGCACCTGACCTGGGCCAGAATGCCTCCTGTCCTCTCCTCTTCTCTTCCTCTTGCAGGATGTAGAGTTGCTGCTTAGCCATGGGGCAGACCCCAGACTTCGAGACAAGCATGGCCGCTCTGCACTTCACAGGGCTGCTGCCGCTGGACACCTGGCCGTGGTTCAGCTACTAGTGACCCACAGTGCCGAGGTGGACTCTCAGGACTCTCTGAGCCTCACGCCCCTGCACCACGCTGCTCGGGGAGGACACATGGAGGTTGTTAGCCACCTTCTGGACGAGGGTGCGCAGGTGAACGCTGTAGGCTGGCTTCACATGACTCCCTTGCACTTCTCTGTGGAGTCACGCCAGGGCCCCACCACAGAGCTTTTGCTGAGTCGAGGGGCCAGCTCCACCCTGAGGACACAGTGGGGTGAGGTAGCCCAGGACCTAAGACCTGAGAGGACCTTTTGGCAGGGAGCAGAAGGAGTGGTAGGGGGCACATAGCCCCTCGGGGCCTTGAACTTAGGGCTGGAGCCTCTACAGTCAGGATGGGACAGAGGCTCCTGGCCCCACAGCCTTCCTAGTTCTCCCAGGGCTTTGCTCTTCTGGGTCTGAGGCTGCCTGAAGTGGTGAACTGCTAAGACACTCCTGGAAGAAGAGGAGATGAAGGAGCAGGCAATAGCCTGAGCCCTTGGACACAGACCTGTGGTTAGACAGCTCTCACCTCTGGGGGAGTGTCCATCTCTACTACAGCTCCATCCTTATTTGCACTCTGGCAGAGAGATTGGATCATACAACAGATTTGACCATAACCTGATGGTCTCCCCTCCCCTTTCTCTGTCTAAGCATGGGGATGCTACCCTGCTGATCTGTGCCTCAGCTGCTATTTCTGTACATGGGGGATGGTTGTCCCTGACTGACCCACCTCAGTATCCACATAGAAAATCATCATTGTCATTATTCGACTTAAAAGTATGCATATGCATACAAAACATTGTCCCACCTACTACTTTGGGGAGTAGCGACTGGGACCTTAAAAGTTAGGAAGCTGCCATCTAGATGCAACAACAGGTCTCTCCTCGTCAAGAAGAAAGAAGAATACCAAAATTAATGGAAACAATCAGTCCTAGCGACTGGTACACCATCCGATCTGCAACCTATACAACTATGAGACCAGAAGAACTAGATGGTGCCCAGCTACCACTGCCATCCACTTGGAAGGGGTGTAGGAGATTCTGCATAAAGAGGGAGAACAATGTGGTACAAAACTCAAAATCGTTTGGAGGCAAAAAAAAAAAAAAAAAAGAAAGAAAAGAAGGTGGGGACCAGGTTTGCTGGTCCAATGGAGCCTGGTGTAACCACTGAGACTATGGCCCCTAGTTGCCCTTCAGGTCTGGAATTGAACCCACAACTGTGGTTTCCAGCCAAACAAAGTACAGGCATGTGAGTTAAACATTTACCTCAAGTAGACACACGCCCTGGAGAGAACAATCATGGGAGAAGGAAGGGCTGCTTATCCACAGGGAGATAGCTCAGGGTGCAGAAAAGTATGAAGGGATGGACACTGGGAGGAGGTAACTATGGGGAGGAAGTGGGAGGGGAGCTGCTGCATTGTAAATTTTGGTCAATGACATGAGACAAAGTATATGTGAACTGCTGTATGAAAAGTGAATTTACTCTGTAAATCTTCACCCAAATCCTAATTAAAAAAAAAAAAAAGGGGAAAGGGAAAAAAAAAAAAAAGTATGCATATGCATATGATTCAATTGAAAATATCATGGCTTGTCGATCATTGTAACTGCTGTTAATAAATTGCACTCACTCTTGTAAAAAGTTGAAGTGGCGAAAGTTGTGTGATAGATATATTTACAACAATGGGTGGGGAAAGTAGTTGCTAAGCCTGCTTAAGTACAGCCAAAAACTTCATGAGATTTGGTTCCTTGGTTTGGAGGGTTAGGCTCATGAGTTCATGGGACATCCCAGTTGATTGGCCAAATAACATGTTGCTTCTGTTCTAATTCCTAGTTCATTGCATAGTGCCTGGGGCCTTAAAAACTCGGAAGTGGCCATCCAAGGCACAACAATTGGTCTTTATTCATGTGGCACAACAGAGCTAGAAGAAGGAGAGTCAGGAATAGGTAGAAGATATGGAATGTGTGTCTAATTGCCTCCATGAACACCTGCCTCTTTTGCCATGAGACTGGAAGAACTCAATGGTATCCAGCTACTATTTCTGAATATATACAAGAGAATGCTGATTAAAAGGGGGAAAATACGGAAATTCAAATTCTCATGGACTCTAGACCTTCTGGAGCCATAGGGACTGGATGAACTCCTGAACTACTGCCCTGAGATAATTTTTAAAACTTAAAAATACCCACTTAAGTCTTCCTAAAACCAAACAATAGGTTAGCTTAACTAGTCAAAAAAAAGGAAAAAAAAAAAGTCTGTCTAGAGCATTATGCTCTTTTAAGAACTATAGAATCCAAGTGACAACAGCAACTCAAAAGATTAGATAGGAACCTTTGTTATATATTAAAGGCGAGATGGACTATATGGAGTCGCCAAGCACTCTGAGACCTAATCAAGCTTTGAGTCCTTTAATTCCGGGGTTGAGAGGTGGCTCATGCCAGAAGGGACTCTCAACCCAGAAGAGCAGCTTCACAGGGTTTATGAAGACAGAACTCACAAGCGGGCAGGGTGTAATATTGAGTGTCTCTTTTCTATCCTTTGCAAGCATTCTTTTACAGAAGCAGAAAGCAACGTTAAACCTAATCTAGCAAATAACATCTGCAGAGAAACTCCTTGGCATTGTGGTTGGGCCTCATCTGCTATGAGGGCTTCAACTAGGACTCAGCCTTTACAAGCAGACTTTCACAGAAGCTGAAAAAACATTATACTTGCTCTAGCAAGTCACACCTATAGGCAACACCTAGCACTGTGGTCTGTCTCTGTGGTTGGCAAAGGGGCTTAAGTAGGTCACCATGTTCTGCCAGAACAGATGGGGTGGCCTAGGCCTGCAGCCTTTCAGCTGAAACAGGATGAGGTGGTCTAGACCTGTAGCTTAAGGAAAAAAAACTTTATGGTGGTATCAGCATGTCAAGATGGAGTCAGTTAAGCTATCTGGCTCATCACACCTTAAGGGGCAGTGAATTTATGTTAATGTGGGAGTGTTTGAATAATTTCTCTTAGAAGGATCAGCACAAGGTTTGTCCTGATGAGGTGGAGCTTAAAGTTGTCCCAAATGTCTAACTTTTCTAAACTGTGTCACTCCATCATCTCTAATGCCCTCCCACCCTCAGTACCCTCCTTCCTGTCTTAGGGTTCTGCATTTTGCTGTAACGTCTCATAGAACTCACAACCTGCCAAGGAAGCAGCTCATGTGGTGGCGGAGACTCGGAGGCTGGCAAGGCCCAAGTCCATGGGTGAGTCTGGAGAATTCTCCCTCCTCGGGTGGTTGCAGGGGCTAGCAAACCCAACCAAATCAGCAGGTCAGATGATCAGCTGCTGTCTCTAGTCCAGGTGTGAGATGATGACAAACCAAACACAAGACTGGAGCAAGAGAACAAATTTTCCCAGAACATTCACATATATACCCTCGGAAGCTAAGGGTGGTGACTTGAGTCACACACACCCCTGTAAGGCGGGACTAGATCTTACCCTAAACAGACATAAAAAACCCTGAAAAACCAAACTCACTGCCATTAAGGTGATTCTGACTCATAGCCACCCCCACTGGGTTTCCAAGGCAGTAAATTTTTATAGAAGTAGATTACCCCATCTTCCTTCTGCAGAGTGGCTGGTAGGTTTGAACCGCCAACCTTCTGGTTAGCAGTCAAATGCCTTAGGCACTGTGCTACCAGAGCACCTTCTAAACAGGGATAGAGACTAGGATTTACAATACATCACAAAATGGAGGACGATGGCTAGAAGGACCATATTATGCAATTCTCTGCACTGCAGGCCATCCCCCGGCTCTTCTAGCTATTGGCCCTTTCACACTTGAAGGATTAATTTGCCTCTCCCAATCATTTTACCAGTCCGAGCCATTAACAGTTAGTCCTTCAGCAGGGCAAAGAGTCTTTTGTCTCACCATCCTTTTTGGCCTCTGATAAAATTTAACGGAGAGACAATTATTCCCTTGCTCTGAGTCTCTCTTTAGGTATCAGCATAATGTTGGATTTCCACTGCTGCATAACCCATTTATCCATTCCTTTCCCTTCAGCTATTATTTCTCCTTCCTTCCATTTAAATGTCATTTATTTTTACCCAAACTTCCCCACCTTGGGAAGGGACATCAGGTACAGTTGCTGTGCCAGTCCAGATTGCTAGTAGCAAGATCAATCTAGCAAGTGCTTCTCCCTCAGTTCATTCCCATTCATGTTGGGTAGGGTTACACAGGTGCAACACTAGTGGGCTATCTCAACCCCTAGACAATACAGTAATATTCACTGTCAACCCCAATTTTTCCAGGTAGGGGAAAGGTACAATCCATCCCACGAAGCCCTTGGGAATTCTGGCAAACAGGTTCAGGGGTATAGTGACACTCTCTTGCTTAGGGATCACCCCTGCCTCTGGTACCTGCAGCTGTGTCTTAGGTCCTGGGACCACAGCTTCTGGCAGGAAGAAAGCAATGTTAAGTGATGTGGGGAAGAATTGTACAGTGGCACCAGTGTTCTCCCCCATCCCCTCTTCCCCAGATCCCCGAGAAAAACATAGGAATCTGTCCAGCAATCCTCCCTTCACCCCTCTCATGTTGAATGTGAGCATATGTTCATGAAGGCCTTTACCTTCCATTTTAGATAACAAATGTTTCAACTGCCCATTCCAATTCTATATCAAACCATTACCTTGCGGATGGTATGCCACATGGTATGTCCACTCAATATGATGTTTTTTGGTCTATGGCTCCACTATGGGCTATAAAGTGTATTCCTTGCTCTGAGGAAATAGAAGTTGGTGGCCCAAACTGGTATAGTATCCTTTGTTCCAATCCCTTAATGGTGTTTTTGGCAATTTTCATCTGTTATGGAGTAAGCAAAGTTCAATCCAGAGTAAGTGAAAAGACCCATTTATAGCCACCTGGAACCACTGGCATCACTGGTCCTATATAATCATCTTGCCAGCTGTGTGCAGTGCTTTCATCCCCGGCAATCGGCCCTATTGCTATCTGTAACCTCTTTCTTGCTGACAGAACAGTCCTTATTGGCATTTTGTACCTCAGAATGTGCAAGAGGGATAGGTATGTCTAGAGTCAGCCCATCTCTGCATTGCTGCAGCACCCCCATGTCCACTCATTTCATGGACCCACTTAGCCACCTCAAGGGAGAGTACCATGTCCACTTGCTGATTTCAGTCACCTTCTGTGGTAGCTGTGTGTCAACTTGACTGAGCCTGGTTTTGAGTAGCTGGGCAGTTGGATGTAGTTATTCCCCATGATGAGAATCCTAATCAACTCCATGGTGGATTCTACTGGAGCAGCTGAGTCGCTGCTGACATGTTCC